CTATGGTGTAAGCTAACAAATAAGTTCCCTTTTATGATAAATAAATGTTATTCTAATTCTGTTCTAAACACTCTTGACCAATACACATATTTTAGGCCACACCTACATAGTCCAAGTCCATACAGGACAGTGTCCTCTTGGATCAGCTCAAGTAACAAAGGGTCTTGATGGCATCTACTGATGGGGGATGTCCTTCTGTATATGTTTCTCTTATTGGTTGATGAATAAAACACTCTTTGGCCAATGAGGCAGGAAGATAAGTGGGACTAGGAGATGAGAAGAATTCTGGGGAAGGTAGGCAGGAGCCCGGCAGAAATGCCATGCTGCTGAAGGAGTAACATGCCAGATTACGGGTAAACCACAGCCTCGTAGCAATACGTAGATTAGCAGATATGGGTTAATAATTTAAAGAGAGCTAGCCAATTAGAAGCCCAAGCCATTGGCTAACAGTTTAATAACTAATATAAGTCTTTGTGTGTTCATTTGGGGCTGAAGCGATGGGACCTGACAGGACAAAAGTAACTCTAGCAACAATCTACAAACACCCCTTTCACACAGACAGGCCATCATCCCATGGGTGTTGTCTCTCCACAACACAAGCTCTATTCACACTCAAGGGTAACTGTTGTAAAATGGAGGTCATTTTTACAATTTTTCTGTTACAGGAACAACATGATGCATTCATAGCATCAGGGGGACATTTAGAAAGTGGCATCCAAGGGATTGTCAGTGTGCTGGTCTGGAGGTCAGAGCACTCATACACAGCCAGAAGTTATTTACTTGGACAATAGCAACAGGTAGGAAGCCAAGACCCTTCGCAGGGACCCCACCTTTCACCAGCATGGAAGAAATGACCAAAGAGAGCTCATTTTCCTTCAGCTCCCCCAAAAGATTTTTTGGGACCACAGCTCTCAGGAGGGGCTGTGTAGCAGGAGAGTGGGGTCAAACTTACCACATGAGGGCTGTAGAGATGGTTTGGTGGTTAAGAGCACATGCTGCTCTTCCAGAGTATCTGAGTTCAGTTCCCAGCACTCTTTGTCAGACAGAGTACAACTGCCTGCAACGCCTGTTCTCCTATGAGCTCTTGGAGACCATGACACAATTAGGACAGATGACAACTGATATTTATAGGCAAACCCACCAGGTGCTCAACTAATCTGTTGAAGAAAATTCATAGGCAAGGCTTATGAGAATATTGCCTATAAATACTGACTGCTTCTGTATATAAATTCACATGTACAAAGACAGCTATGGTAGCTCTCCAGTACTCTCACCGTAATTTGTTATCTCACATGCTGTGTATATGTACTCTCATGATTACGTCGCAATCTTATGGGCACATACATCTATGGATGTTTAGGAAGATGGTTTCTCATTAACTGTATAATTTTGATATATAGAAAATATACTAGGGTATGCTTTATAAACTAGATCTATTGTCCCACGAGGATTGTGAGGAACTTAAAAACCTGTGTTGTTCCTTTTACTAACACAAAAAAATAACAATATCTCCTCAGTCTAAGACAAACTACACATAATTAGCTCATTTTTACCTCAGAGCAAATTCAAACTAGAGTAAAGGGTTTTTTGTTTTTGTTTTTGTTTTTGTTTTTCACAAGGTCAGAGTTACAGGTGTCTAACCAAGATTATTAACATAAAGCAACCTAAAAAATCATGTCAGCTCTTTGCTTGCCAAGTCTGTGATAAGACCTATGTCTCGAAACTTGCCTCACTGCACTCTGGTCACAGTCTTACTCCGGAAACCTTGAGACTTTGCATTGTCATGTAAAGGGCTCTTGATGGGCGATGTCATTCTGTAAATATGTTTCTCTTATTGGTTAATGAATAAAGTCCTGTTGGCCAATAGGAAAGCAAGATAGGTGGGACTAGGAGACAAGGAGGTTTCCAGAAGAGGTAGGAAGATATTCAACATGTAGAGACTTGAGAGAACAGAATTCTGGTAAAGATAGACCACATGGAAATACTTAGATTAATAGAAATGGGTTAATATTTAAGACAGAGCTAGCCAATAAGAAATGTTAGTAACAGGCCAACAGCCTGTGTTGTTTGGGGCTGGCAAGGTGATGGGACCAGATCAACGGGAAAACTCGCTTGTAACAGGATCTGCCCTTATCACTCACCCAAAGGAATGTGCTTTTGACCAATGAGATGTAACTCTTGTAAATATATATATATAAAATTGCTTCAAGCATCCTGTAAAAAAAAAAATGTGTATTTAGGCTAGAGGAACATAGAAGCTGAATAGAATTAGAGCCAACTGAAGCATAAAGATCATGACTTGTGTGTAACTTATTCTGTAACCCCTTAGATTAGAAATATCCTAAATTCCTTTCTTTATCTAAATTCCTGCCTTTTTGTCAGACAGTTGTACTCTGTCTGACAAAGAGTCCTGGGAACTGAACTCAGATACTCTGGAAGAGCAGCATGTGCTCTTAATCACCAAACCATCTCTACAGCCCTCATGTGGTAAGTTTGACCCCACTCTCCTGCTACACAGCCCCTCCTGAGAGCTGTGGTCCCAAAAAATCTTTTGGGGGAGCTGAAGGAAAATGAGCTCTCTTTGGTCATTTCTTCCATGCTGATGGAAGTTCTGACCTGAATCTGGAGGTGATCTTGTGAACTGAACTTACAAGATACCAATACATCTCCAGCAAACACAACTCTGTCTTCTGGGGACACCTACACATGTGGCACCTGCATACATGTAGCACCTGCATTCATGTGGCATGCAAACACATATGTAATAATAAAAATATTTAAGATTACCATATGAAAGGAATTTGGACAGATAGCTTGGCAGCTGAGAGCACTGGCTGTTTTTCCAGAAGACCCAAGTTCGATTTCCAGTACCTACAAGGTAGCTCACAATCATCTGTTACTCCAGTTCCAAAGGATGGAACAAAGGTTCTCACCAGCACCAGGCACATAAATGGTTCCCATATATTCATTCATGCAGGCAAAACAGCCATACTCATTAAATAAATTTTAAAAAGTATTAAAACGATACATTTAAAAATTACCATATGAAAGTAACCACTTGGTGGAAAGGAAGACTGAAAACTGTCTGCCAAAGACCAATGTGTAATAGAGAATGCACAAAAAAAGGTGGGCCATGCAAGCGAGCTTTGGAGACCCCAGCCTGTGGGAAGTGGGCACTCTGAGCTTCTGGCCTGTGTCCCAGCTTCAGCCCTTACCCTCCCTAGGGAGTGCACTTGTCCTAATGACTTCTACTTCTACTGCTGTTCACATGTCCCTGCTCAGTTTCGTATTGCAGGACACAAGAACCCAGAAATCTTGACAGACAGTTGCTGGAATTTGACATTTGTTGACAACTGAGAGCTGCCAACTAAAATGTACGGTATTGCCTCAAAAAGATGATGGGACAGACATAGTAGACTTCCTAGGGGAGGCTTTGCCCTCTCTGAGGGGCAGGTGGGAGGGGAGGGAAGTGAAGGGTGCAGGAGGAGAGGGAGGGAGAACTGGTTGGAATGTAAAAAATAAATTAACAATAAAAAAGAAAAAGGTAAGGTTATGTTTCCAATCTCTTAAAACATTCTGCTAATTCTGCTAATTCTGCTAATTCTGCTAATTCTGGAGGCAGCTGAACACCTGAAAGAATGCAGGTCTCAGCAGCCAATCTATCCCCCTCCTTCCCTCTTTCCTTTTAATCCTATCTTCTTTCACTTTGCCTGGGAGTGTCCAGAAACACTTGGCTCAGGATGGGTAGAATCTTCAGTAATCTGGGGACATATGCCTCACACATACAGGTAGCTAAGATATGGTAGCATTCATGTGGTTACAGCCACAACAGCTCTGGCATTAGCATAGCAACACCCACCTGGTTTCCCAGGGTCTGGGACACATATGGCCATTTGATTTGCCAAGCATCAGCACTTCCTAAGATGTGTTTTTGGCAGCCAGTGCTTTGCATAACCCTGCTTTCCCACCCTCAGAATTCCTCATTAACATCACTCCAGGCTTCACAAATGGTTGTTTTGCTTTGTGTTTCTGGTTCACCATATTCTTCTGGCTCTGGGTCTTACCTGACAATTTACTGCACCAGGCATGTCCAACCTTCCAATACTAAGAAAGTCAGCCATCAGGGAGGAAGCTTCCAGGCCGGCACCTGTTTGATTCTCCATGTTATATGATTGATGTATATGGTGTCTTCAGCAACAGGATCTTAAATATCAAATTCTTGTGGGCAACTAAGAGCAGTGGCAATGGCTTATACTTGTCCAAGGAAATCTCCAGGACACCTCTGATCAACAGCTTGATGAGGAGGCTCCTATACCCAGTAGTGGGTTTTTTATTTGGCAACCTGTGGCTTCTGGGAGGAGCATTATCCCCTGTCTAGGGAAATACAAATTATTTTATATAAAGATTATAAACTAGTATGTTTAGAAAATATGATTTTAAAATAAGCACAAGGCTATGAAGACTTAGTGTAAGACTTAGCATGAAAACTTGTGTGTGGAGGCCTGTAGTGCAATAATGAGTAACAGGCCATAAAAGGTTGGAGTTGGATAATTGCACCTCTAGTGAAGGATGATATTAAACAGTGTGAGCAATGTTTTGGCAGGTAACTAATTTCAAAGGGAAAGAAACAGATGAAAAATGACCACAAGAGAACTTTGAATGGTTGCCTTCTTGCTTGTGTAGATCCTCCCGGGGGTTGCAAACTGCAGAGAATGCATTGTGGACACCCAGAATTACACCGAGGCCACACAAGAACCTGAAATCAGAGCACTGAAGACTTAGGGAGGAAAACAGTGTGTATAAGGAAGTATATCACAAGGTATAGCAGTGTTTGTATTACTTTAAATCACAGGCAGTATCTGTGTAGGCAGTACAAAAATAGACATAAGGAAGAGACCTTGGACCAATCAGTCACCTAGGTCAGGGATATAAAGGCCCTAGACTCAGGAGGCTCCACATCTGCACACTTCCCTCTCTACCTGTTCCTCTGATCTTCTCCATCCTCAACCCAACACCAGAACCATGAGCTGCTGTGGCTGTTCCGGAGGCTGTGGCTCCAGCTGTGGGGGCTGCTGCTCCAGCTGCTGCAAGCCTGTGTGTTGCTGCAAGCCTGTGTGCTGCTGTGTGCCTGCCTGTTCCTGCTCCAGCTGTGGGGGCTGCAAGGGAGGCTGTGGCTCCTGTGGGGGTTGTGGCTCCTGTGGGGGCTGCAAGGGAGGCTGTGGCTCCTGTGGGGGTTGTGGCTCCTGTGGGGGCTGCAAGGGAGGCTGTGGCTCCTGCGGGGGCTGCAAGGGAGGCTGTGGCTCCTGTGGGGGCTGCAAGGGAGGCTGTGGCTCCTGTGGGGGTTGCAAGTCCAGCTGCTGTCAGTCTAGCTGCTGCAAGCCCTGTTGCTGCTGTGAGTCTAGCTGCTGCAAGCCCTGTTGCTGCTGTGAGTCTAGCTGCTGCAAGCCCTGCTGCTGTCAGTCCAGCTGCTGCAAGCCCTGTTGCTGTCAGTCCAGCTGCTGCAAGCCCTGCTGCTGTCAGTCTAGCTGCTGCAAGCCCTGCTGCTGTCAGTCCAGCTGCTGCAAACCCTGCTGCTGTCAGTCCAGCTGCTGCAAGCCCTGCTGCTGTCAGTCCAGCTGCTGCAAGCCCTGCTGCTGCCAGTCCAGCTGCTGTGCTCCTGTGTGCTGTCAGTGCAAGATCTAAGGTCCTGGTCATAGTCCTCCAGTAATCCTGAAGACCAGCACCCTCCAGGCAGGAACAGAAGTGGCAGCCCTGAGCCCCAAGGTCCACTTGTGTATCTTTATCCTCCAGCTCTGAAGCTACATCTCTAGATTGAGGGGGCTATGTCCTGGTGTGGAGGAGAACACCTCTTGCTGGGAGCTCACTCCTCATTCCACACTCAGCAAATCAGATCTCCATCAGCTTCCTTCTCTCCAGTCTCCAACACTCTGACCTCCTTGGTACCTGGCCTCACCTGGATGCTCCATCAAGTCTGCAGGTAAGTGGCAGACTATGGAGTTCTCCATAGCTTGTGGCCCCAGGGAGCTGTGAACTCCTTTCCACCCAGCATTGGCCAGGCCAGGCCTAGCTCCACTTGACCACCTCTGGGTTTCTATCCTTTCTGTTTCTCTGTCCGGGTGTGTACTGTGCCTTTGATGCAAACAGCCTTCAATAAACATTCTCTGCCCACTGTAATTCTCATATCATTCTTTGTTCTCATAACTAACCAGCACTATACTCCCATCCCCAACCCCTGCCCTATTCTTCCTCTGAGCCTCATATAGTAGTCTGTAGTACAGTGTATCATTCTGCCAGGCTGCTCCTGGAACCAACCCCAGCACATACCCAGAATTGGGCAATGGAGCCTGGAGAATCAAGGCAGCTGCTAGAGTCTTGGGCTCCCTTGAGAATCTAGACAAAGAGACAACAAAGGGGGGCCAGGAAACAGGTGCTTCAGCAGAGCTTACCTAAGCTTTTGGAAATCAGAGCTCAAGACACAGAGGGCTTTAGCATGGGGACAGGCTGGCGGCCCTCAAGGCCCAGAAGGGGTGGGCTTACTTGAAGTGTTTAGAGCAGGACCCTGATTTGTTATGGGATGGCGGGAACCAAGCCTGACATACTTCTCATCCTCTAGGTAGATAGAGCCTTGGGTATCACACCAAAGTGTTCTGAATACTGATTTGAAATTCATTCAGGGCCACCAAGAAACCTGCAGCAAGGGACACGAAGACATGGTCAAGTATGGATCCTGACATATCAGGCTGGAAGTTCCATGGAGAAGGGGCCCAGACAGTGTTGCAGATGGGCATCAGCTGGGAACTGAGAGGAGAAGGTCAGCATCTCCTTGAAAACAAGGCAAGGAGGGAAGGGGACCAGCTAAAAACATGGAGTAGAAAGTGCTTGCAACTACTCCCACTGTGTAGTTTGTGTACACATACATGCTATGCATACACTGTGTATGTACATGAATACATACTATGTGAACATACATGCAGACTTTATATTCACTATAAATACACTATGCATAATGTAAACACATATTTTACACATGCACATAATACATATGCATACAAGCACACTGAGTGAACATGCATATTGCATCATGGACACTATATATACATATGCACACATACAAATACATTCTACACATACCATAAGTATGTATACACTGCTCACATAAGTTCACACACATGGTTCGATGTGGGTTGTATAGGGTAAACTTACACATTCTGGGCACCAGTCAGACAATCTCTGAAGCTGTGTCCTCATCTGCTGTGGAACCCTGAAGTCCACATACAAGTGGTTAGAAGTAAAGATTATAGGAGAATTGAATGACATATGAGGATGGACTGAGGCATGGGTCCACTTCTACTGGGGTTGGGGATCCTGTGAAAGATAGGGTTCCTTGTGACAGATCTGGACACACACTCTTGGCCAGAGGTCAGAGAAACTAGAACAACAAACCTCTAGCTACGGACCCACAGGGGCATAAATAAGTTAGTAGGATTGTGGCTATGTGTACGAGCTGTAGTGTGAATGAGTCAGTGGGTCAGTGACCCTGTGTAAGGATGTTGAATTTAGGTGTGAGCTACATAGTAAGTGAGCAGGCTGATGACCATGTGTCTGGTCTGCAACCACAAGTGTGAACCACAGGAATGGGCAAGCAGGTTGTGTGAGGCACATGTGTGTAAGCCACAGGGTGAGTGGGCAACCATGCCTGTGAACGATGGAATGCCACAGCTTTCACCCATCATTGAACCTGACTCATGACACTATTCACTGGAACCATGGGATATGGTGCTGATGTACACGGTGGACAGACAACACCTCTGATGAGCTAGAGTGAGTTTTCTCTTCTCTGGCCCATCATTATAGGTTGTCCACATCCTAATTTGTGTGATTGGTGAATGTCATCTTTTCTGGCAAAAGAATGAATGACATATTATTGTTGAGAAAGAGTCTTTTCAGACAAAATTAATGATCTTAAGGTGTAGAAAATTCCTTGGCTTATCTGAGTGGTCTCCACATGCCACAATGAGAATGTTTACAGAGGGCACAGAAAGACAGATAGTCAGACAGATCAACAGACAGATCTGTGGGAGGGAACACTTTGCGGCTGAGGAGGCAAATTACAGTCATTTGGCCACAAGTCAGGAAATGTCAACTACACAGAATCACAAGAGGCCAGAAATGTAACAACCCTGCATTCCCTAGGAGAATTGACCCCACTAAGCTTCAATTTCAGACTTCTGTCACCAGAACTTAGGAGAAAATGTCATAAGAATCAAACTATTATGCTGTGGTCACTTGTTAAAAGATCATGGAAAATGAATGCAGACTTTGGTGTCTGGGAATGGAGGGCTGCTGGGATGGTATTGGGACACATGAATAAGGGGTGCAGCTGAGACAGTACTTAAACATGGCAGTCTTGGATTTAGGCAATTAGGAATAGAAACACACTGAGATACATCATAGAAAAGTCCGCAAAGCCTGGAATAGACTGTTGGTGGATCCGAAGGTATTAAGGACTCTGTCAAATAGTATTGAGAAAGAAATGCCAATGTTAGTAGAAACCAGAGGGCAGGCGATTGTGTTACGTGCAGGTGGACCTGGTGCCAAGGAGGGCAGAAAAGGCAGATCTTGTAAATGGTTAATGTAGGGATTTCCAAGCAAAGTATTAAAGGTGTGGCTTGTTTTCTTTCCTTCCTTCCTCCCTCCCTCCCTTCCTCCCTTCTTTTCTTCCTCCCTCCCTCCCTCTCTTCCTCTCCCCCCTCTCTCCCTCTCTCTCTCTTTCTTTCTTTTTTCTTCCTTCATTTCTTTTTCTTTCTTTCTTTCTTTTCTTCCTTCCTTTCTTTTTTCCTTCCTTCCTTTTAAGATTTTATTTATTATGCATATAGTCTTCTGCCTGCATATGCTCTGTAGGCCAGCAGAGGGCACCAGATGTCATTCAAGGTGGTTGTGAGCCACCGTGTGGTTGCAGGGCATTGAATTCAGTACCTTTGGAGCAGCAGCTAGTGCTCTTAACCACTGAGCCATCTCTCCAGTCTTTGTCTTCTCTTTCTGTTTGAAAGAGGTGAAAGAGATAATTGAGGAAGGAATCACTAAGCCAAACATTCAGCCTCGCAAGATTGCAAAAGATGCTGCATATGGATAACTCTTATTAGAGAAGTGTGTTCTGTAAAGACAGCTGAGGAACTGCTGTGTTATCTGACTGGGCATGCAATGCATGCAGCTGCTCAGCCTTCTCAGAAGAAGCCCGGAACAGAGATGGGGCCCTGGGGAGTGATCCAAGGATGCTTCTCCTTCTTTGTTGTGATGTAAGTCTCTGTGGTATGCATGGAAAATCCACTTGGTTCCAGAGCCATTCACGGTTAGAGAGATGGAGTATGTGGTGGTTTGAGAGAAATGTTCCCCAATCCCCATTCATGTATTTGAACACTTGAACACTCCAGTTAGTGGAGCTGTTTAGGGAATGACTTAGGGTTTCTATTGCTGAGATGAAACACCATGACCAAAAAGCAAGTTGAGGAGGGAAGGGTTTATCTGGCTTACACTTCAGCATTGCTGTTCATCACCAAAGGAAGTCAGGTCAGGAACTCAAGCAGGGCAGGATCCTGGAGGCAGGAGCTGGTACAAAGGCCATGGAGGGAAGCTGCTTAAAGAGGGAAAAATCAGGGTACAGTCACAATCAAAGCAAAACAAAAGTCCAACTGTCCAATGTCTGGGATCCACTCATGATCTTCTGGACTCCTCCAAAGGGCTTAGGTTACTTCTCTGGCTCTGCCCCCTGAAGAACACACAACTTGCCTTCTAGGTTGTGGACGGCCCCATTCTGCTACTGTTCTTTGGGGTCTTCCCATGGCACTGTCATTCCAATATGCTGGGGGTTTCTTGCATATTGCAAGGACTGCACTTTCACCAATAGCCTCTCATAGGGTCTCCTCATGTTGCCAAACCTCAGCTTCTTTGCATGCCTTCCAAACCAGTACCACCTGGGTGATGCTTACACATCACCAAGTTCAGCTACCAGCATGAGGTACAATCTTGGCCACCTCTGGAATACAGCTTCTCTGTGCTTTCAGGAAATACTTCCCAGAAGATTTCACCAGTAATGATGATCTCTTTTTAATCACTGCTAATGTCTTAGCTCCAGATGACCAGTATCAAGTATCCCAGCAAAGCAAACTTTTGCCTTAGTAGTTCTGGTATCTTGTTAATTACAGCTGATTCTTCAGCCCCAGCTAACCAGGACCACGGGGTCTCAATAAAAATAACAAATGGCCCTGATAGTCTTTAGTCTTCCCTCTGAAACTGTGTAAGCCAGGCCTCCATCTTCTGCACTTCTCTCAACATTCTTAGCTTCCAAGTTCCTAAAGAACACTTCACTGAGCTCTTAACACTCAATGATTCTTCTGATCCAAATTTCCAAAGTTCTCCCACAATCCTCCCAAAAACATTGTCTGTCACAGCAATACTCCACTATGCTGGTACCGATTTGTCTTAGGATTTCTATTGCTGCAATGAAATATCATGACCAAAAAGTAAATTGGGTAGGAAAGTGTTTATTAGACTTACACTTCAGCATTGTTGTTCACCATGGAGGGAAGTAAGGACAGGAACTCAAACAGGGTGGGATCCTGGAGGCAAGAGCTGATACACAGACCATGGAGGGAGCTGCTTACTTGCTTGCTTCCCATGGCTCTCCCAGCCCATCCCTTTTATGGAACCCAATACCACAACCCATGGATAACACTACCTACCATGGGCTGGGCCCTTCCCCCATTGATCACCAAATTAAAAAATGTCTTGAGGCTGGATCTGATGGAGGCATTTCCTTAGCTGAGGCTCCTTCCTCTGATGACTCTATAGTTTATGTCAAGTTGACACACCAAACCACCCAGTACAGGGAGACTTAGAAGATATGGCCTTGTTGGAAGAAAGTGTGTCACTAAAGGCAAGTTTAGAGAGTTTAAAGACTTGTGCCATTTCCAGTGTTTTTTCTGCTTCTTGTGTGAGCTCTCGGCTTCCTGCTGCAGCAGCCATGCCCCACCCCATGATGGACCCTTATCTAGCTGGAGCCATAACCACAAATAAACTCTTCTGAATTTTACCACAGCAACAGGAAGGCAACTAGGACAAAGGGAACAAAGCAGGGATGTCTGTACTCTCCAGGTAAGGAATGGGATGGTAAGGCTCGTGGGCTGCCTGGGTGCTACCCTTTTGGAAAGAAGATGGAGACCTGAGGGTGGTTTGGAGGCCAGTGGGACCTTTGTGGTCTACAGGACAGTGTGTCAAACCACACAGTTCTTACCCAAAACCTCAGTCCCTAATGAAATTTGCCTGGCAGGAGCTCAGAGTGGCTGAGGGCTTCTTCCATCATCTCCTCTTTGAGAATGAGAGTGCCTATAAATGTCTCCTTCTGCCTTGCCACTTCTATGTCATAGAGCACTGGCATCATTGGTCTGAGGTAGATCCTGCTCAGAGTCTCACCAGCACCTGTTCTGGGTGATTTAGATGCTGACAATTGGGGTTCTGGATAACGGTGCTCTGTACAGATTTGTACTCACTACTGCTGGTGCAGATGTTGGAGTGGGTGTGTGTGATGGTCGATCTTTTTTTCTCAATTTAATGGGATTAAAATCACCTAAGGGGCATACTTCTGGATGTTTCTGTGAAGGAAGTTCCAGAGAGGTTTAAGTGAGGAGTGATTGCCAGTATTCATGGCCTGGGGTCCTGGACTGAATAAAGAAGAAAGTAAATGGAAAGCCAGAACTCCTCTCTCTGCTTTCTAACTGGAAACATTCCTGCTTCCACGCCTTCTACAGTCTGATGGACGGTACCTTCAAACTGTGAGTCTAAACACATCCCACCCTCCTTAAATAGCTTTTGTTACATCGATGAGAAGAATAACTGATACTAACATAGAAGTATGCTTAGAGAGGTGGTGGGATGCTTGGGTGTAGTTGGAATGGAGGTGGGCTGTGGTGGCTGAACATGCTCTGCACATGGAACATATGTCAATATCTGAAGCCTGAGAATAAGAATGGTGGTTCTCTAAAATGCATGCCATGTGAAATCCCTGGAGTCTGTGAACATCACACATGGAACACAAGGGTAGCCTTAGCTTATTTTGAAAGAGAATTTGCAGACACAACCAGATGAAGAATTCAGAAATGAGCCCAGATGATGTCCACAATAGTGTCTTATGCCGATAGTCCCAGGACTTCAAAGATGGAGACAGGAGGATTTCTTGAGTTCAAAGCCAGGGCATAAGAGATGGCTCAGTGGTTAAGAGCACTTGCTCCTCTGATAAAAGATCTATGTTCAATTCCCAGCACCACATGGCTGCTTATAACCACCTGTAACTCCAGTATCAGGGGATCCAACACTCTCTTCTGACTTCTGCAGGCACTGCACACACATGGTGCACAGACATACGTGCAGGCAAAGTACCCACACACATAGGATAAAATTAAATGTAAATCAACTCCTCAATCAACTCAAAACAAAGAACAACAAAACCAAAAGATATCGGGGCTCATAAAAGTTGATATTTGGTTTAGGGTGTGGTCACCAGATATTTTGGATATTGAGAAGTTAATTACGCTTGCTTGTTCTTTGTACTAGGGTAAGGAAGTCTCCCGCCTCCCCTCCCCCCACTTTGATTGGAGTGTATAAAAGCTTTGAGTAATAGACTTGGGGCTGATCCTGCTACTCACCAGGTGCCCTCCCAACTCTACATCTTGTTTCTTGTTTGCTTCTTTCCTCCATCCATGCTCCTTATCTCAGGTATGTACTGGACAGGTCTGCTGGACCCAATGATGCCCCTGCAATATGGGTTACTATGAAAAGAGAAATGTGCTTACTTGGAATATCTGGGTCAACCTTAAATCCCACCATATCCTTATAAAAGAGAGAGATGGAAGTCCACAAAGGCAGAGGGAATGTGACCAGGGAGGGAGGAAGACAAGTTAGAAGGCTGTCTGTGGTGGTCTGAATGAAAACAGCTCCTATGGACTCATATATTTGGAGACTTGGTCCCCAGTTGGTGAACTGTTAAGAAGGTATGGCCTTGTTGGAGGAGGTGTATCACTGGAGGTAGGCTTTGAGGTTCCAGAAGTCCTTATCATTCTCTCTTCCTCATGTTGTCTCAGAATATAAGTTCTCAACTACTGTCTCCTGGCATGCTCCCTGCCATGGTAACCATGGACTCTTACTCTCTGAAACTGTAAGCTCCCAATAGACCCTTTCTTCAATAATTTATCTTGGTCACGATGTCTTCCCACTGAAATAGAAAAGTAACTAAGACACTAAGAATTCCAGCATCTACCAAATGAAACATCTATTCTCCATTAATCTCTGGAAAGGAGGATGCTCTTGCTAAAATGTTGTTTTAGACTTCTGGCTTCCTGCTTTCTGAGAAAATACATTTTTCCTATTTGAACCCATTCAGTTTCTAGTAATTTCTTGCCATGGTCTAAGGAACTTAGTTCTTGTAATAAGAAGTATGTAGTCTGGAGCTTGGATGTAACTGAGTTGGTAGAGGCTCTGAACTAGAAAGCGAGGCATGAGAAATTATGAGCATGGCCGTTAGCTCTACCATCTTGAAGACATACATTCTATAAAACCCTTTGTGATCCTAACCCCCACTATCCATGGGACACTGCTGTATTGATGGAATGTGGCCTATGCTGTTGATAGATGACTCAACCTTGGACCGTATGAGCTGCTACAAGTGGGAAATGGTCTATGTGACTGAAGAAAGGAACTGTTTACTTCTTTTTATCTTAATTCATGGTGACAGTAAGGGACAACAAGACATAGACAAAGGATCTTAACATGCTCTATAACTCCTCTTCAGCAAGGCTAAATGTATCCAGAGCAAGGAAGGCAGCTCTGAACACCTCCAGGGTATCCTCAGGCCTCAGGGGCAGAAGTTTTGGCTACACCCCAGAAAGAAATAGATCTACCCTTAGCATTGTCCATTTCTCATGGGATGGCCTTTGAATTGTTTGTTTTTGGCTCAGTGACTTAAAAAAAAAAAACAACCGCCCACTGTACCATGTCCATTTCCAGATTCGCCAAAGATGCCCAACCCCAAGAGAACTGCTCTGGTGCCCGGCCTCCCTGGCCCAGCACATTCCATATTTGGTGTGATGGGGTTGGCGTGTGGGGAAGAAAGTATAAGAATGGACATGAAACTAACACAAGGAACTTCAGAGGACAAACTGGGTAGAGAGAAAATGGTAGGTTTTACTTATGAGAACAAAGAACGACATGAGAATTACAGTGGGCAGAGAATGTTTATTGAAGGCTGTTTGCATCAAAGGCACAGTACACACCCGGACAGAGAAACAGAAAGGATAGAAACCCAGAGGTGGTCAAGTGGAGCTAGGCCTGGCCTGGCCAATGCTGGGTGGAAAGGAGTTCACAGCTCCCTGGGGCCGCAAGCTATGGAGAACTCCATAGTCTGCCACTTACCTGCAGACTTGATGGAGCATCCAGGTGAGGCCAGGTACCAAGGAGGTCAGAGTGTTGGAGACTGGAGAGAAGGAAGCTGATGGAGATCTGATTTGCTGAGTGTGGAATGAGGAGTGAGCTCCCAGCAAGAGGTGTTCTCCTCCACACCAGGACATAGCCCCCTCAATCTAGAGATGTAGCTTCAGAGCTGGAGGATAAAGATGCAAAGTGGACCTTGGGGCTCAGGGCTGCCACTTCTGTTCCTGTCTGGAGGGTGCTGGTCTTCAGGATTACTGGAGGACTATGACCAGGACCTTAGATCTTGCATTGACAGCACACAGAAATACAGTAGCTGGATTAACAACAGCAGGGCTTACAGCAGCTGGACTGACAGCAAGATGACCCACAACCTGAAGAACAGCAAGGTTTACAACAACTGGACTGACAGCAGCAGGGCTTGCAGCAGCTGGACTGACAGCAGCAGGGCTTGCAACAGCTGGACTGACAGCAGGGTTCACAGCAGCTTGACTGACAGCAGGGCTTGCAGCAACTGGATTGACAGCAGGAGGACCCACAGCCTGAAGAACAGCAAGGTTTACAACAACTGGACTGACAGCAGCAGGGCTTGCAGCAGCTGGACTGACAGCAGCAGGGCTTGCAGCAGCTGGACTGACAGCAGCAGGGCTTGCAGCAGCTGGACTGACAGCAGCAGGGCTTGCAGCAGCTGGACTGACAGCAGCAGGGCTTGCAGCAGCTGGACTGGCAACAGCAGGGCTTGCAGCAGCTGGACTGACAGCAGGGTTCACAGCAGCTTGACTGACAGCAGGGCTTGCAGCAACTGGATTGACAGCAGGAGGACCCACAGCCTGAAGAACAGCAAGGTTTACAACAACTGGATTGACAGCAGCATGGCTGGCAACAGCTGGACTTGCAACCCCCACAGGAGCCACAGCCTCCCTTGCAGCCCCCACAGCTGGAGCAGGAACAGGCAGGCACACAGCAGCACACAGGCTTGCAGCAGCACACAGGCTTGCAGCAGCTGGAGCAGCAGCCCCCACAGCTGGAGCCACAGCCTCCGGAACAGCCACAGCAGCTCATGGTTCTGGTGTTGGGTTGAGGATGGAGTAGATCAGAGGAGCAGGTGTAGAGGGAAGTGTTCAGGTGTGGAGTCCCCTGAACCTGGGGCCTTTATATCCCTGCCCAGGGCCAGGTGTAAAGTCACATGTGGTTTCTTCCTTGTTCTTGTCTTCCCTGTTTACTCTATACTTGTTTGGTAGTTTTTCTTTGGTCTGTTGATTCTCTATGGTTGGAATGTGGATTTTCTGAGGTAATTTCCTATGGAATTCATACTGAAGGAAAAATAACTCTCGATTCCTTGGCCTATGTCATTGGGTGTAGCCTGGTTGGGACTCAGGCTGTTACACCCTTTTGTCTTTGAGCAGGTTTCATTGTCCCTCTGAACAGTGAACTCCCCTTCTACAGAATGGGGCTTCCAGAATGGCCTCAACAGGAATTAAGGTTTTGTAAGTTAATTTCTGCCTTATGTCTTCTTGAGCCCCTTACACCCTGGGACCCCTGCAGAGGGGTCCAACCTCTCCGGAGCTGTGTGTCTGAGGCATGCTCAGGTTGTTGCTTCTCCCGCTGAAAATGCCCTCACATCAGTGTCGTGGCACCCTCTGGTGCTTCTCCTTGTGTGACCTCTTCCGTGTGGCCACAACAATGATGACAGGGTTTTCCACTGTGGGGAGATGGGGTCTTTGCCTCTGTCTTCCTGTTCCCAGGAAAGTCTCTGTAGCTGTGACATTCCTAACAAGTATGATATTCTGAGAGACATGTGTGCCTCTTCCTTCAGTTATTAGATTATTGAATTACAGTCCTCAAGGAATTGAAATTTCTTCAGGAGTCTTCTACTGGCAAAGGGAAAAGCTGAAGTCTGGTGCCAGCCAGAGTCTCCCAGAGAGATCTCACAGAGTTCTGAGAACTTGTCAGACCACCTTGCAGGAGAGACTGGAGCTGACAGTGATGATCAGTGACCGGCAGGACCCCACACATCTTGACCAGGACTACTTAGCTATGGGCACCTCTTGCCCTCTATTCAAACCCAAATTTCATGGCAGGATCTAAGGATGGGCTAGGAAGGTCACTGGACATCCTTGTTCCTTATTCTAACGTGGAGAATCTGAATAACCCTCATTTCTCTGATTTTCCCCATGACTTGTTTGCTAATGGGCCCATTGAAAGGAGCTGGGCATAGGTGGTTAGAGCTGCTGGGGCCCAGGCTGGTACCCTAACAATCCTGATAACAATTCTGGTGAGATGGTAATGGTACACATTTCCTCTTAGAAGGTTGGCCCAGGATGGAGAGGAAAGATAGAATGGTCCCAAATAATCAGATTGGGTGGTCCCACATAGCAAGATTGAGTGGTCCTATATAACCACATAGTCACTTTATTCTGGGGATGTTTTCCTTAACCTTTCCACCTCAGCCAGCATCAGCTTCTTTAATCTCAATTGGGTGATTCAGAGAAATGAATGTCTTGTCTTTGTTTTGGAGTCTAGACAAAGTCATTTCTTGGTAAGCTTCTCCTGGTCTGTGCCTTTCAATTTGGGTCCTTTGAACACCATATGGCTGTTCTTTTTTGTTTGTTTGTTTGTTTGTTTTGTTTTTTGGGTTTTTTTCCTCTCTCTCCTCATTGGTAGAGGCCTCCAAATTTAATTTTTTCTATAACATTCAGGCGAAGTCTAGATGATCTTTAGTGGCACTTGGGTGTTTCAAAAGGCTCCACACACATTTTTCTCCCTTGGCCTCACAAGTCAGAGTTTGTCATGCCTCTGAAGGAAATTGGCACCAGATATTACAGCTGTCTCTCTGTTCTTGTATTTTTTTTAAGTAAATAATTCAGGCAAAGCATGCAGAAGACCCACACAGGTTCAAATGGCTGGGGTCTCAGCACTGAGAGGGAGAAGTGGACACGGGGTCCCACCCCTAGTCAAGAAGTGATCACAAATTGGTATCTACTGGCAAATGGAAAATAAATGCTTTCCTAAAAATCTCGCTAGTATATTAAGCACACTTCAGGGCTAGCCCCATTTGCAGTAGTAATCCCAAGGAGTAGTTGCCTAACACAAAACAAGCTCAATGGTATTTTTGTGGACTTTCTATTTCATTTGCTTTGCATGGCCATTTTTCACCTTATGGGTCTTTTGCTAGTTTTGATTTTTTTTTTTTTTTTTTTTTTTTTTGCAGGATACACACACACACACACACAAACGCACGCACACGTGTGTTTCTTGGATTTTTAATTTTGTTTTTAAGACATACACAGAGGTAGAGGTGTAAGGTGTACTGTTTTTCCTCCCGCCGCCGGTCTTGTCCCGCCGCTGCGCCAGCCCAATTAACACACCAAGACTCTATATTAGATATAATTCTGCCAGCCCGTTACTAGTTTCTTATCAGCTAGCTCTGTCTTAATTATTAACCCATTTCTGCTGATCTATGTATTTCTCTTACCGGGGAGCCGGCCAGCATTCTGCTTTCTTCTGACTCTCCATCTTGGCTCTCTCTTCCTACTTCCTTTTTCCTCCTTGTCTCCTAGTCCCTCCTATCTCCTTTCCTATTGGCCAACAGTGCTTTATTCATTAATCAGTATGAGAAACATATACAGAATGACATCTCCCATCATAGAGGGAGAGAGAAAAAGAGAGAGCACACATATAGTTAGGTGAGTAAGAAGGTGGAAAGAATCTGAGGGGAACTGGGGATGCATGATCAAAATATAGTATCTAAAAATTTTCTCTTAAACTGGTCAGTGGTGGCATATGCTTTTAATCTCAGCACTCGGGAGGTAGAGGCAGACATCCTGATCTCTGTGAGTTTGAGGCCAGCCTGGTCTCACAGCAAGTTCTAGGACAGCCAAGGCCATGCAGAGAAACCCTGTCTCAAACAACAACAATTTTTTTTCAATTAAAAAAAAAATCATTCAAGAGACATAGATAGTTTGATTAGAAATTTACTTGGAAAAGCACACATTACAAATAAAGTTTGAAGTGGTCTTCCTCAAGGCAGTGATCAGCCTGGTGGCTTCTGGACTATGAATTTCAAAGAAGGGTTTATGTGTTATGTGCAGGTTTTTCCTGTCATTCTGGTCCCACCACCATGCCAAAATAACAGCCCCAAAATAACACACATAAATGCTGTATTAGTTATAAAGCTGTTGGCCTGTTACTAGCTTATCTTATTGGCTAGCTCTGTCTTAAATATTAATCCATTTCTATTAATCTAAGTACTTCCACGTGGTCTTACCTAACCGGAGAGAGGGGCTGGCGTACTTCTCTCTCCATCCTCCCTCTTAGAACTCTTCCCTACCACTTCCTCTCTCCTCCTAGTCTCCTAGTCCCACCTATCTTGCTTTCCTATTGGCCAACAGTGCTTTATTCATTAACCAATAAGAGAAACATATTTACAGAATGACATCTCCCATCATTTATAAATATTTATGAAATGGGTGACATATTGATTTAGGTGATCCCTTCCCCCTTCCAAATCATGGTAGACCATATCTTCCTTTTAGGGTTTTTCTTCCCATAATCCCCACAAATGGTGTGTGTGTGTGTGTGTGTGTGTGTGTGTGTGTGTGTGTGTGTGTGTATGCACGCACGAGCACCATTATACAAGGGATGTTATTATGACCTCTGATCTTTTGAGGATGCAGACCCTTCATTGGTGTGTAAGTCTGGATGCCTAGAGGTTTTCATTCCTGATATAATGGGAATAACCTACCCTAAATGTCAAGGTGGTTTAACCACGAAAGGCCATCGTAAGCATTAGGAGACAGAGACACCAAGACACAGCTTCAGTTTTCCTTTTTATTCATATTTATCTAATTTATCCAATATCATAAGGACCTGTGAGAAGGTAATATCTGCTGGCCAGGAAGAGACCTTGCCAGAGCCTCAGCCTGCTAGCACTTGATGTTGTCTTCTGCTGCAAAGCCCAGAGAAGACCATGCCTATGACATATCATGAGTGCCATGTAAGTCCACAATGTGATGGGTTCTTTGTTTTGTGGCTCAAGATTAACAATAAGTATCATAGGTTGATATGAGGTCCAGGGAGGTGGAGGCACAGGCAAAAGGAGGTGCCAGGTGACATGCTTGGGAAAGATGGTAGGGTTTGGTAGTAGGTAAAAGTAAGGGCACCAAAGATGCCCATAAGTTCTTCTATGTGGAAGATAGGAGGGTGTGATTCCCTGAATCTGAAAGGAAAACATGATCCTGTCCCAAAGCACCTCAGAGATTACTGTATATGGGGAAAGCGTCTTTACAAATGTAATAAGTTGGAGCTGAAGAGATGGCTCAGTGGTTAGGAGCACTGGCTACTCTTCCAGAAGACCCACGTACAATTCCTAACACCTAGATGGCAGCTCACAACTGTCTATAACTCCAGTTCCAGGGGGTCTGACACCCTTTCATCAACACAAAGAAAATATTTATACATACATACACACACACACACACACACACACACACCACATAATAAGTTACAGTGGGGCCATAACAGATTGTAGAGGCCTCCATACACATAACTATGCTACAAGAAATGGGACCATGACACAGACACACAGAATTGGCAAGCCAACAACAGAGGGCACAGGACAGAGGCCACAGCTACTACTCCGTGACATCTCAGTTTCACACATCTGGCCTTCACAATCCTAAGACTAAGTCTTTTCCCCCTGTTTGTTAGTTGTTTGTTTTGTTTTCTTGTTTTCGTTTTGGTGACAGTGGGGTAGAGTTCAGGGTCTCCCTTATGCTACTCAGTGGCCTACACTGAGCCACATCTCCAGTGAGACCTTTATGTTGGTTTCTTTATTTAAATCACCAGATCTGTAGAACTCTGTGATGGGACCCTAGCAAAGGGAGGCCAGGGGGACCAAGCCATGAAGGTAACAGCTAAACCCCACAACTTCCTAACTACACAGACTGAAAACACAGGATGATGGCACAAGCTTTTGAGAGGTGTGCAATACATTTATTTAATAATTTAGGTACAGTGTTTAACAAAGGGAGAGCTCCTGGTGAATCACAGCCACATAATCAGGGGACAAATGGAAGAATCCCTTCCCCCATGATTTAACTGGAGGGTCTCCAGTGCCATCATGCCCTGGAGATTAAACTCCAAAGGAAGTAGGGCTCAGACAGCTGGGCAGTGGATGAGGCTGAGAGCTGGGGTGAGAGGGGCCAGTGAGGACATACAGTGAACTGGAGTGTTGGAATTCTGAGAAGATGGAGTGGCAAAACCAGAAAAGACATGGGATTTAGTAGTTAGGGCATGACTCAGGACATGGTGTACTTTATAACCTCAAGGTTGTAGGCCTGGTGCTCATATTGGCACCACAGCCTGCCGTAAGCCAAAGAATGGATGCAGAGGAGTTTGTTGTTGTTGTTGTTGTTGTTGTTGTTGTTGTTGTTTTCTTTCATGATGTCAGAATGCAGTTCAGTTAAGAGGAAGAGATTTTCAGGAACCATCCGAGGTCTATAGACAGACTCTCAGATCTTGCACTGACAACATACAGGGGCACAACAGCTAGACTGACAGCAGCAGGGCTTGCAGCAGCTGGACTGACAGCAGGAAGACCCACAGCCTGAAGAGCAGCAGGGCTTGCAACAGCTGGACTGACAGCAGCAGGGTTTGCAGCAGCTGGACTGACAGCAGCAGGGCTTGCAACAGCTGGACTCACAGCAGCAGGGCTTGCAACAGCTGGACTCACAGCAGCAACAGGGCTTGCAGCAGCTGGACTGACAGCAGCAGGGCTTGCAACAGCTGGACTGACAGCAGCAGGGCTTGCAACAGCTGGACTCACAGCAGCAACAGGGCTTGCAGCAGCTGGACTGACAGCAGCAGGGCTTGCAGCAGCTGGACTGACAGCAGCAGGGCTTGCAGCAGCTGGACTGACAGCAGCAGGGCTTGCAGCAGCTGGACTGACAACAGCTGGACTTGCAACCTCCACAGGAACCACATCCTCCCTTGCAGCCCCCACAGGAGCCACAACCTCCCTTACAGCCCCCACAGGAACCGCAGCCCCCGCAGCTAGAGCAGGAACAAGCAGGCACACAGCAGCACACAGGCTTGCAACAGCACACAGGCTTGCAGCAGCTGGAGCAGCAGCCCCCACAGCTGGAGCCACAGCCTCCAGAACAGCCACAGCAGCTCATGGTTCTGGTGTTGGGTTGAGGATGGAGTAGGTCAGAGGAGCAGGTGGAAGGGAAATGTGCAGGTGTGGAGCCTCCTGAGTCCGGGGCCTTTATATCCCTGCCCAGGTATTTGCACTCAGCATGTGATCACTTCTTTTTATGTTTACATGTAGACAAGACTTGTTTTTAATCTCTGCAGTCCAATGAACTACTGTTAGTTAAAGGAATGAGGGAAGATAGGAAAACAGGAAGGGAGGAAGGAATAAACAAAGGAAGGAGGAAGAAGGAAGTTAAGGACAGAAAGAGGGAAGAGGTGTCAATCTCATCACACATTTCAAAATTTTCTGGTTTTGTTCTGGTGGTTTCTGTTGATGTCCTCTGTGTTTACCTATTTCTCCTTCAGCAACGTCCAATATGTGATTAAATCCACCCATCATATTATTACTTCACAGGCAGTCTCAAGAAGTTCTATGTGGGTGTTTTCTACTCTCTGATGGGCACAGGTAAAGGCTCACATGGCTGTAGAAGAATAATAAAAAGTGTAAATCCTCTTGGGGCCTAGGAAAGGGAAGGGAAAGGCTCAATATCCATGCTTCAGTGACAAGGATGGCATCAAGATCATGGCTCGCCATCAAAGCAGGGTGGGACACTGATGGGTGATGTCAGTCTGTAAATATGTTTCTCATACTGGTTAATGAATAAAGCACTGTTGGCCAATAGGAAAGCAAGATAGGCAGAACTAGGAGACAAGGAGGAAAGAGGAAGTAATAGGGAGGAGTCAAGATGGAGAGTCTGGAGAGAGCAGGACGCCAGTCAGCTCTCCAGTAAGAGGAGACCAGGTGGAAATACATAGATTAACAGAAATGGGCTAATACTTAAGACAGAGCTAGCTGATAAGAACCAAGTCACTGGTCAACAGCATTATATCAAATACAGAGTCTTGGTGTGTTAATTGGGGCTGGTGCAGCGGCGGGACAAGACCAGCGGCAGGCGGAAAAACCTACTCCTTACAGGACCTATTCCTGAGGACCAGTTTTTCTAAGATTACAGTCTCCAAGTGACAAAATCCTCTCCTATCTCCAGCATAAGTCAAGCACTGAGGCAAGCCATTTCTACATATGACCGGCATTTAACGGAGAGGAACGTGAACCGGGAAGACTGATAGGAGGCTAAAGTCGATATCTGACTGTGGGAAGTCCTCCACCTTCAGTCTGTTCCATCATAGGCTGCCCTGCTTAATTTTTTGTTTGTTTGTATTAATGCTTTAATTTTAACTTATTTTATGGTGTTTTGCTTGCATGTATGTCTGTGTGAGGGTGTCAGATCCTCTGAATTTGGAGTTAGGGGACAGTTATGAGCTGACATGTGGGTGCTAGGAATTGAACCCAGGTTCTCTAGAAGAGCAGCTGGTGTTCTTAACCACTGAGACATTTCTTTAGCATCCCCCCTCCCCACCGCCGCTTAGTTTTTTTATATCAAATTGACACAAGCTAGAGTTATCTGGGAAGAGGAAACCTCAATTGAGAAAATGCCCTTTTCTTTCTTCCTTTCTCCCTTCCTTCCTTCCTTTCTTCCTTCCTTATGTTTGTCAGGGCTTCTCTGTGTCACAGTCTTTGTGGTCTTGGAACTCTCTTTGTAGACCAGACCGTACTCAAACTCACGGAGATCCACCTGCCTCTACCTCTGCCTCTTGAGGGCTGGGATTATAGGGATGTACCCACTGACCAGCTGGGGGCATTTTCTTGACTGGCTGATGTGGGAGGGCTTAGCCTACTGGGATCAGTTCTATCCCTGGGTAAGTAGTCCTGAGTTCTATAAGAAAGCAGGCTAAGCAAGCCATGGAGAGCAAGCCAGTAAGCAGCATCCTTCCACAGTCTCTGCCTCTGCTCCTTCCTCCATGTTCCTGCCCTCACTTCCCTTCATGTTGAACTGTGAGCGGTAAGATGAAATAAACCTTCTCCACAAACTGCTTTCGGCCATGGTATTTATCACAGCAATAGAAAGCAAACCAGTAGCCCCAGCTCACAGGAGGCGACTACTTCTCCAGGCTCTCACCATCCTTCTTCTATATACTCCTTGCCTCTTATCTGACAGGTGTCTTTACTACTTAGTTGTTTTTATTTACTTTACAGTTTATATGCTCTTGTCATGGATTCTCAGTGCTGTTCTTGATTGTTTCTTTTTCTTTCTTTCTTTTTTTAATCTTTTTAAAGCTGTGTGTGCTGGTAAACATCTTTAATACCAGCACTGGGGATGGTGGGGTAGAGGCAGATGAATCTCTAAGTTTGAGGCCTGCCTGGTTTATATAGCAAATTCCAGGCCAGCCCAGTGACATGGTGAGAACCTATCCCAAAATACAAATCAGAACAAAGCAAAATAAGCTTTTTTTGTTGTTGTTGTTAGGGTATGAGGGTATGTTTGTCATCTGAATTAAGGGATTTCAGGATGATATTCTGTGAATCCAATCAAATGAATCGTGTGTCAGCCATATTGACCCCCTCACCCTTCCTGTTCCCTTTCTTCCTTCCAAATAGTGTCCTCCTCTCCACAAATATTCCCTCTGCTGTCATATCATTACACGTATACACATGTGTGGGGATTGCTCACCTAATATAATATTCCCCAGTAACACACATTTCTCTGAACATGACATAATTTTATTCCTTATGGCTGAAAGCTCCATTGTGTATGTAAACCACATTTCTTTATCCATTGGCCTGTGGATGGGCATCTCAGCTGATCCCATAGCCTGGCTGTTGTGTGAGGAGTGTGGTTGTAAAGGAGTCTGCTGTGTTGGCTTGGGTTCTTTGACTATCTTCCCAGGAGTAAGGATGTCATGGTGACCCTACTCCCAGTCTTTTAAGGCAGGGCTTTTCTGTGTTGCCCTGGCTGTCCTGAAACTTGCTCTGTAGACAAGGCTGGCCTTGAACTCACAGAGCTCCACCTGCCTCTGCTTCTCAAGTGCTGGGATTAAAGGTGTGCACCATTACTTCCCAGCCTTGTTTTTCATGGTAACCATTTGACTGTATAGTTTGGATTTTTCATTTCTCTGATGGTAAGTATGCTTGTTGATTTTCTTAGTATATTTACTGGCAAGTTGAACTTCATCTGTTATTAATTTTTAAAGGCTTATTTATTTTATTTTGTGTGTATGAGTGTTTTATCCTCATGTCTATGCCGCGTGTGCCTGGTACCCTCAGCAATCAGAAAAGGACATCAGATCCTCTGGAACTGGAGTTACAAATGATCATGAGCTGGGGGCTGGGAACCAGTTTGGGTCCTCTATAATAGCAGCCAGTGCTCTCAACAGCTGAGCAATTTCCCCAGCCCCCATATTAAAAAAATATTTAATCAATTCTTTGAGAATTTTGTACAATTTATTTAGATCATATTTATACAACTTCTCCCCTTAACTCTTCCTTGGTTCATTCCCACATCTCTACCCCACCAATTTTCATGATTCCCCAGTTTTCATATCGTATGTATGTATATATGTATGTATATATATATATTTTTTTTTCTTTCTTTTTTTTTTTGAGACAGTGTCTCACTATGTGGCCTGGAACTAATGAAGACCCACCTGCTTCTGCCTCTGCCTCTGCCTCCCATATGCTGGGATTAATGGCATGTGCCAACCAACATGCCTGGCTCTTTAGGGCTTTTTAAATATAACATTAAATCATCTGCAAGATAAATTTACTTTTTCCTTTCCAACCACATAACCCATTTGTTTCTTTTTCTTGCTAAAACCATTTACTATGGCTGAAACTTTAAGCTCCATACTGTATAGAAGCAGAGAGAACGAGGCTGGAGAGATGATAAAACTTGCTTTTCCAGAGAACCTGAGTTCAGTTACCAGCACTCATGTAAGGTGGCTCACTGCTACCTATAATTCTAGCTCTCCAGGGCATCTGATACCCTTTTCTGGCCTCTGCAATAATGTGCACATATACACATACAGACATGCATACATACTCACATAATAAAAATAATAAATCTTTTAAAAAGTGAAGACAATTAATAACTTTGTATTTTCCTAATTTTAAGGGAAATACTTTTAGTTTTCCTCCATTTACTGTATTGTTAGCCATGGCAGCCATTATCATGTTACAACATGTTCCTTCTAGGCCTGGTTTCTCCTAAATTTCAATCCTGAAGGGATGTTGAACTTTGTCAAAGGCTTTTTCTGTATTGTCATGATCATGTGGTTTCTGTCCCTGGGTCTATTGATGTACAGTGTTTGTTTATAGATGTTTTCCTTTTCTTTTTTATTTGGGGTCACAGAGTTTGGGAGGTATGTCTCTTCCTTCCCTGTGGTGTTAGTCAACGTCTGTTATAGATAAACAGACTGACAGAGTGAGTATATGTTAAAAGGGGTGTAGGAGCCTGTCTTTGCAGGGCTACAGTAGGAACCAGCCGACTTGCCCCTGGTTTGTATCTGAGAGGTGGAGTATGGATTGAGAAAGGCTAGGTAAAGACATTCAGAGAAAAAACAGTTTATTCTTCACCTGTCTTAAATACCTTAAATACCTTAACCAAAAAGGGGAACATGGTATCATGCATACAGGACAAACAGACTTTCTTCCTCAATTCTCCAAGGATTCGGTAGCCACACCTTAGATTCAATTTCTTGTTATCTGACCTTGAGGGCAAAGAATAACCACACCCCATACCAAGTCTGTTGTTATTTAGATAAGACACTCAAGGCCAAGATCAAACATCCTACTGTAGCCATGCCTTAGACCTTTAGGTCTTATGACTTACTAAGGACAGTTTTGAACTCTCTGACCTTGAGCCAAGATGAAGCGGAGTCATCTTTCTGGACCCCAACAAAAGGGATTTATTAGATTGGCTTAAATGATGTGGTCTGGGTAGTCTAACAATGGCTGTTGTCTTAGTTTGGTTTTTTATTGCTGTGAAGAGACACCATGACCACAGCAACTCTTATAAAGAAAACTTTTAATTGGGGTTGGTAGCTCACTTACAGTTCAGAGGCACAGTCCATTATCATCATGATGGGGGGGGGGGCATGGCAGCATGCAAGCAGACATGGTGCTAGAGCT